AAATCATGATTGAGTATGGGACGATCCATGATATGTTGGATAGGTAGGTCAGAAAATGGCGATTTATTTAATGGATCGTATTGTGTCTTCAGTTTCCTGAAACTTGTATTACGTGTTGTGAACACAAGCGTTGTGTTCGGCCGGAGATCGGGGAACTTCGTCTCACTTGGCCGGTGTCACTTACCAGATTCGACCCAAATGAATACACATTAGTTCATTACAGATAGTCCACACAAGCAGTCAGCTGAGGTAACCCCTCGCTCTACCGTTCTCTCGTTCTCCCTCTCACCAAGGTTACAAACTCCCTCTAGTCAAGGGACTAAGGCGTGGCAGAGTGAACATGCGATCAGCCAATCGCTGCAGTCGTTAGCAAGATCACGTGATTCCCAGGGATGTGACTCGTGGTTAAAGCCCTGCAAAGTTGACACTACTAAATACAATAAGTGAACAATCTATTTATCAAATTTCTGTAATATATGTTTATAATCTCCATTCTAAACATGCAAGTTTTTGATTCTAAACAGTAGTCTAACGGCGTGTGAATGGAATGTGTGAACACGAAGTCGCTATCATAACGCATTCCCCCTTAGACAAAATTGAACTGTGCCTTAGTTCAAGTGGAAGAAGCTAAAATTACAAACAATATAATTCATTAAACGGTCTAATCTACTAAGAATACAAATAGTTGAATATACAATGTTTATATAAACGTTTTTATAAATCACTTATCTAGAACGTTATCGCTACCATTAACTTTATAATATAAGTAAAAGCATTATTACAAAGTGATCACATGAAAGTAAACGTATAATAAGCGTAATTTACTTAGCACTACTTCGCTTGTTGATGGGGTGCTTTAGGCTACACATGGCAGTCGGAGGTTACTATTACTTGGCCTCTCCCCGTATGTCTTCACGACACGGAGATAAAGTTGTGTAGACCAGAGCTTGTCTCACCAACAAGCGGTACTCCGCCTCATTATTCTCTATAAGGCAGATATTAATTCGGGACTTAGTCTAGGCAATTTAAGCCATTGTGGAAACTTTCGAACTTTAATTGGACCACCTCCTTCATACACGACTTCAGGCCAGGCAACTTTTATTTCGCAATTCGATAAATCAGATTCGATCCAAATGAATACGCATTAGTCAATTACAGATAGTCCAGCTTTATTCACACAAGCAGTCAGCTGAAGTAACCCCTCGCTGTACTGTTCTCTCGTTCAAACGAAGGTTACAAACTCTCTATATTAACATAGTTGAACTCTAGTGACCTTGCAATTTGTTATATAATATTATTCCTTTATCATAGTTTGTTTCAATATAAATATGCATTGTCATAATTTATTTTGAATACAAACAAGTTTTGGGGTTGAAACAACAGTGGGAAAGCAGTCTACCAAATGTCCTTGATAGATGTAAATGTCTTACAAAAACATTGGTGCCTAATTTGTTTAATTATTTTAAAGGGACATAATTTTCAGCTTTATTCAAAGAAATTTAGATGTTTTAGTATAAAAACAAATGCCTCATCTCACAAAAAAGTGCTGCATTTAGACGTGAATAAATTCATAAAACATGCAAGATGACAGAAAATCTTAGCTGGCTTTTGTCCAAGTATTTTGTACAGGTGTCTGTCAAAAAATAATGATTTACTGTGACAAATGTGAACTGCCTTATTATATTCATTGCGTGACTACTGTATTATTTGAAAAGTAAAAAAACGCCCTCTAAAAAATAACTATCATGTTGCAAGCTCTGCTTTGTATGTATATCAACTTAAATAGTTAGTTGGTGTCCAGTGAGAGAAAAGTCAACAGTACTGTTGCCTCCCGAGAGTCTACATCTTCAAACACTGCAATCTTTTCTTTTGAAGTTCGTTTTTAAATTACTATTATAAAAGCTCTATCATTCTGTTCTTATATCTGAAACAAATTCCTGTGAATTTTTATTTGTCGAATGAACTGTCAATACATATTTTTGAGTACAATTTTCTTTTCAAAATGTGGATGCAACGTTTTGCTCTTTTATGTATTTTTTATGTATTGTTTTTGATTTGATAACTTTGGACTAAGCAGATTTTTTATTAGCTTCAAATCTTGATCAACGTTTGGCATCCAGTTCATACGAGTGCTTATATTGATTTTCTGACATCTTGTTTTCTGAAAAGATTTTATTGGTAGGTTTGCAGATGTGTATCAGACTGTGCAAAAACTCTCTCCATGAGTTGGTTTTGAAACCCAGTCTAGTATTCCCATGGAATTTAGGAGATACATTACCAACGATATTATTACAAGATAAATGATTTGCTTCATTGAACACATACAACAATGCATATTTCCACTGATATCAGTGACCTTTGAATGAATCACCAGATCAGTCAAGTAGAAACAGTCAAAATATTTTAACAGATTTTCTCAATTTTTGCATGATATTTTCATATAGGACATCTGTCGTTCATACGCAGGGAAGATTTTATATTGATGAATAAGGTGACTAAGTTTGATAAAGTTTGGAATAAAATTAGTAAAGTTAGTGTGCACACAATAACAATTATTAACGACGACAACGACAACGACAACGCCGGACAGAATTGTTTCCCTTAATATACCTTTCCCTTCCATCTTTGATGGTACGGACAAGGTGAAACGTCAAGTCGTTGGCACGGTCACGTGATTACCAGGTATGTGTCTCGCGGTTAAAGCCTTGCAAAGTTGTCACTACTAAATACAAGTAAAACAATCTATTTATCAAATTTATGTAATGTTTATAATCTCCATCTTAAACATGCAAGTTGTTGATTCTAACGGCGTGTAAATGGAATGTGCGAAAATGAAGTCGCTATCATAACACATTCCCCCTCTGACAAATTTGAAATGTACCATAGTTCAAGTGGAAGAAGCTAAAGTTACAAACAATGCAATTCTTTAAATGTTCTACGGGAAGCCTTAATCTGTTATTTTTCCAACAGTTATCATCGATATTTTTCAACATGTTGAAATTCTTAAAATTCATCATTATAGTACAACAACTTACACAATTTAATTTAATTTAAAAAATACATGAAATACGGCAGGATGTTCGAAAACGAGCAACGCACTAGTATTAACTAGGCTAAAGTGTTACTGAACTGATACACAAAGACCGATTGTACCTGGCGATAAAAGTCCAATCAACCGAGTGGTAGGAAGATCAGAGGCCTTAGCCCTTGCCCTCCTCGGTACCTCATTAAGTCACGGGTCAATCGCAGCGGCTACCCTCAAAGACAGCGGTAAAGGTAAACGAACGAACTTATGATGACATCGATCAACAATAACGAGTGAACGAATGCGGAGAAAAGTAGGCCGAGAAGTTGCATCTGATAAGATGTTGGCATAAATAGTACATGATGAATTGTTGTAATAAACATCGGACGCTAATAATACAAAGTACCAACTGAATTACCTGTGCTCTATGTGTATGTATCTATCTCTTAAAGCAACAAACACAATTTAAACTTCTATAGGCACTGCAAAAATATCCCTGATTCCTGATAATATCCCAAAATCCAACAATATTCTACCTTCACATTTCTGACCGAGAGTGATATAACAAATTGTTAATATTATACTTATACTAACCTGAATATTGTTTTAACGCTAGTTCACTAGATATCAAAGCATATTCACTAATCAGACGAATCACGAATTTAGCTAATTCAGTTTGTTATGTCATTACTCGACACTAATAATAAAAGTTACTAATTAACTATTTTTTTATCTGGTCCGCAAATTCGCCTAGCGTCAGCACAAACGTATAATAATAATCCGTACATATCACGCTATTTGACAACTGTACATATAATCGTGACTCAAAACAATCTTATTTGTTTTCACTACTGGCGCCCGACTATATATGCAAGGCTGTATCCATACAACAACACACAGACACATAACTAAAGTAATAACGCATTTCCTTTTACACCAAATTACCCTTGACACCAAAAGTAACATAAACTCAAAAGTTGCGAAAATCTACAGAATTAAACCTATATCGTAAGCGATATTATCTTGATGAATATTCGGAGATTATTAAAATGGATATATTTGACCAATGGAAACTCTGCAAGATAATATAATATCCTATACCACATTTTTAAAATATCCGAATATTATTTTAGCGAATTTGCTCAATGTCCCGTTTTGTTAAATTAGCTACCCATTTTGATTAGGGAAAACGCACGTTGGGTAACGTAGCTACAACACTATAGACAATGAAGGACACGTTCTACAGTATGTGGCTTGTGGAACTGTTGAGGTGATGACGTTGTGAAAACATAACACTTGAATAAAAACACAATGTCGTATACTCAAATAATGGTATCTCCATTATTTGAATATACGACATTGTTTCGGCAACTCGAGTCGTTCATTTGTGTCGTGTATATAAATTACACACAAATTCATCACTTTAAAGAGAACACAATACATTGTTGCATACATTTTTAAAAGACTATATTACACAGCTTTAACCAAAGTTGGTCAAGAAACATACTCATTAAATAGAACAATCCCGGTTTGAAGGGTCGGCAGAAAAGATTTATTCCAACATGGCTGGTCCCAGCAGTAATACAAATTGAAATAACTATAACTAAAGCGCAGTCGCTTGGCTTCACGAAACACATTACATCACCACACGTTTGAAAAAAAAAGTAATCGCCTCAGCTGTCCTTGACCAATTGAGTAAATCAGGTGAATCTTTGGAATTAACCCTTCCATGTTATGTGTCATCTCGCTTCAGATAGCGGCATTTCGGCCTTTGAAGTTGCCTGGAATAATGCCCAGCTCCTGAACGAAAACACACGACCTCAGCCAAGTATAATAATCATATCAGCAGAATCAATGGTGAGTATTTGGCAACTATCCGCAATTGTTTCAGCAAGATGACTTTTGGCATTTTATTGTTCACAAAACGTATAAAAGCAGTGCATTTGCAGTTAGGATTTCATTGCGGTGCAGTTGTCTCAACATGAAGTATCTTTTGTTGCTAGCAGGCCTTGCTTTTGCAAGTAAGTTTTGTCGATGTTAATAGTTTGTTTTCGTGAATGCATATTCCAGTAGAACTTGTATGTACAATTACAACGTTTATTGGTGTGATAGTTGTATCGGACGTTGGATACTCAGTGGAACTGATACCTAACTCTTTTCTTTTTTTCTTTCTTTCTTTTTTTTCACATTCATTCCATTCTGGCTTCGTTCATCCAGGCGCCTTCCAAGGTAAGCTAATTTGTTCTTTTTTTTGTTAGCTAAATTGTTTCTCTATTGCAGAGCACACAGAGTATATACGTTGACTAGCACAGCTCAGATTACAATCAACATCTCGTGTCATCATAGGTGATCCCGGTGGAAGATCACGACCCATGAGTTCAATAAGGTTGATATAGGGCAGCAATCCATTCGATAACGGCCGTACAGTAGTCGTAGACCTGTATACCTTTTAATGAGCACTGAATTGAAGTGGGGGGTACTGTATGGTTATTTATATTTCTAGGTCTGACCTACGAGACATCCAAGAAGTATGTATACGAGTACGAAGGATACGTTCTCAGTGGTGTTCCACAGAGTAGTAACCTATATTCTGGTATCAGAATCACAGCCAAACCGGAAATAAGCATAGTTGAGCGTGGCCGTGCCGTATTGAAGGTATGCAATTGACAGTGCTGCCATGAAACATACAAATATGTTCCATTTCTATCGTATCTAACGAAAAATTAAAAATCATATTGTTGAGAGATATCTAAAATAGATTTTTGATCTTCCTAGGTACAATACCCCAAGTTATACACTTTTAATGGCACACGTCCAGGATCCGATTTCGTTGAAGCTCCTGAAATGACGTCAGCTTTAGCTCCGCTTTTAAGTGAACCTGTGATGTTCGAATACGTACATGGAAAGGTGAGTATTGTACGAGTCGTTGTTACTTAATGGAATATGAATATGAACAAAGTTGTTGAATGTTTTAGTAATCAATGTTGCATTTATAGGTCGGCAGGATATTTGCTCCAGCGGACCTGCCAGATGTTGTGGTCAATATCCACCGTGGTATTATCAATATTCTACACATCAACATGACTTCTAGCGAAGGTTTTTTTGTCAACAAAGAAGTAAGTACACATGTACCACCTAAATCATTAAATTGTAAACCTATTTGATGATCCTAAAGGGATTGTAAATTACGAATTATTCTTGCTATATGAATATTTAGTTTGTAACCAAAAACGATAAATACTGATTCATTTTTTATTTACTTAATTTTGACATTTTTTGTTTGTTTTGTTTTTTTATTTTGCTATTTTAGATTGACATTGGAGGTATATGTGAAACAGCGTACAGTGTTGTTGATTTGAAGGACGTAACCACTATCGTGAAGACCAAGGACTACGAAAAATGTATTGTTCGCCCCGCATATTACTGGAACTTTACCCGTTCAATGCAATATGTATTGGAAAGACAGGTAACACATTCATTTGGAACTATATATCGACTAGTTTATTGACAAATAAAATCAGCTGTTCAAAAAATGGACTAGTTACGTCTCTGTAGAAATTCGATTGACTTGTGAGTTGGACGGCATTCATATACACTATGGATTCTGACACATATCTCACTGATGTACCCAAGTTAACCAGGGTATGTTTTGTTTAAGGCTCCACCCCTAAGATCTGCTGCCACGTTCCGTTACAATCTCACCGAGGCTGGAAGTGGTTACATCATAAAGGATGCTCATAGTGAGGGACAACACATTTTCACTCCTTTCTCCGAATATGGTGGCAGTGCGCAATCAATTATCAAGTAAGTAACAGCGAGATGCACCAGTATACAGGTGTTCAAGCAATAGAGAGATTATTTTACATCCGTTTGATCAAGATATTCATACCGGTTATATATTTTTTTTTCCTCAGACAAAAACTTCGCTTTGTCGACAAAATGGCAGGAGATGCAAGAGCACCCAGTGATTTACCCGATCGTGGCAATCTTATGTATGCATACCCAAGGGAACGTGCTTCTCACTATGCATCTCGACCCGTCAAAACCGAAGAGGTAAGTGATGATACAACATGTCTCAGAAAACACATTTACTTTGTGTGTAGAACAATATCCTACACGCTGTTTGTGACGTCTAAGATTCCAATTGCGCATATCCAACAAGTCACTGTAAGAGCTTTTTTACTATATATATTATTTCATGTTTATATGTTTGACGTATACATGTCCGTAATTGTAAATACAAAACACAACTTTATATGACATTGTTCAGTTATTCTGGGCTTGTGATTTCTAACTGATAAATATTCTCCATTTTGTTTTCAGATTGGCAGAATTTTAGAAAGTTTGTCTAATGAGATGAGCTTCGAGAAAATATCTGTCGAAGCCCCTGGATATTGGATTATCCTGGTACAACACCTTCGTCAATGCAGTGTCGAGGCTATTAGAGAAATCTGGACCAACTATGCAAGCAAACCACATTACAAGTATGGAATTATATTTACTTACTAGTAGAACATTGTTAATGTGCTTATTGCCGAAATATTCATTTATTTATTGAAACTCTTCTTTTTATACAGAAAATTCCTTATTGATATACTGCCAATAGTCGGAACCGAAGACGCCATTACTGCACTGACAAACATAGTAAAAGCAGAGCCTGCCATTGTCAAGGAATATACTGCCTACATTTTCACTGGACTTGCATTCACCCCAGAACCGACACCCGCTATCATGGAGAAAATACAGGTTAGAAATATAGTCTTAGTCCAGCTACCAATTAGTACAAAAAGTTCTATACATTTGGCAATAAATCGCTTAAAATAAAGCCACAATTTTATTTCATATACACTGACTTGTGATCCGTGTATACATCTTATTTATTATAGGCCTTGATTAACGACCCGATTGTTAATGAATACGCGCCAGCAAGACGTGCAGCTCTTCTTGCATATGGTGGTATTGTCAACAATCTATGTTACTACAGAAGATGCCCAACAGCAGTAGTGGATGTAAGTGCACTGTACATATTTACCAATTTTACAAAAATTATATTTAGGTGGACTTTCACCAAATTACATGGATGGTGGTCGTCACAATACATGACTCCGGTATCAAGGTTTACACTAGACATAATTCCAAGGTTGAATGGAATACATCGTTAATCATATATCTGTATTTTTTACACATCGCAACCATGCTTGCCAATGGGAGGGCGCATTGGATTGTGAATGAGTCGCTGTTTGTCAAAATGAATCTCGCACATCCGTAGGTTGTTTCAAAACACGATAAATCAATCCAAATTCTTCTCATTAGTTCCTGACCAGTAAATATGAAAGTGCCCGTGACGACGCTGAAAGAGAAGTGATTTTGAAATCGATGGGAAATGCCGGTGTTATTGAGGTTGTACCATACATCAGAAAATTGTTCAAGCGCCCAGAAACACTTCCACTTAAAATACAAGTTGCTGCCATCCAGGCCCTCAGAAGGATCGCTCCTCGACACCCAGTCCAAACCAGTTCAATCCTCATGCCAATCTTCCTCGACACACGATATGCCACAGAAACCCGTCTTGTCGCTTGTACCGTCCTATTTTTAACAAGGCCTACCACTGCCACAGTAGTGACGATCGCTGAACAGCTGATAGTTGAACCAAACAACCAGGTTGCATCCTTCGTATACAGCCATATCAGAAATCTCGCCAATAACACTGTGCCAATGATGAGACCAGTGTGAGTAAATTCAAAATAGAACTTAAAGTTTTCCACAATAACAACTATGTTGCGTTAACGTACAAATGCCATCTTAAAGATTCCAATGACGTATTGTTTTCATTTATTTCAATAGTGCCCGTGCTGCTGCCACTGCTCTTCGGTTCGCTCGTATCCGAAGTGGTTTGGGATACCGATATGCCAATAGCATGCATGCTTCATACTACGAAGGTAGGACTATTCGAGTTAATTATTATATTATATAAATAATAGTTATTTTGTTAATATAGTTGAATTGAATTGAATTGTTATAAATATTTTTAATTATACAGTAATTTTTATTTTGTAGATAAGTTGAACATCGGAGGTTTCGTTGACGTGCATGTCTTGAAGACTCCTCATAGCTTCATGCCAAAACAGTTGTACACCAAAATAAATCTACAATTGATGGGACTATCTATCGACGTTATGGAGGTACGAACTATCGAATGACATATAAATGTCAAAGCGTCCATATGCGTAATAATTTGTATGTGTACCATACTTCATCTTTTCTGATGTGTATTGTTTTTTTTATAATCAGGTTGGCGTGCGTGCTGAGGGCATTCAGAATCTCATCGAACGTATTACCGAACCACAAAGCATGTTCAGGAAGAAGAAAACTCTATCCGAAATGTTGATTCGTCAACCACGTAGTTCAGAAGATGTTGAGCAAACAGAACAGACTGTCAAGAAGGTATTATTCCTGTTATAGATAAATCTCGCTCAGAAAAAAACATATAGTGGTTTTTACAGCCATCATTAATGGTTCCAGTTCTAATTCGTATATTTTGTGATACGTTTATACCATGCAGTTGTACCGATACAAGCCGGTCAAGGAGTCCGATACCGAGTTTGGAATGACTATGTTCATCAGGATGTTTGGAAATGAACTGTACCTCTTCAACGTTGACAGAGACTATATTCGCGATGTTGTCCAAGTGAGTACAAATAACAAATTGTGATATACAGGAAACAACTATTTCTATGGTTTCTCAATAATACTAATTAGTGCTACTCAAATCTAAATATGTCATTTCAACGTTCATGTTATTCCAATACTGGAATTCCTTAAATCGTGATGTTATTTATAATATGTTTAAACTTAACTTCATAAGAAGATAAAAGACACGATGATTCACATGTAATACTAGTAGAAATTTAAGGTGTTTACTTCAATTGGGAATAATGAAAGACACTGCTGTGTTTTGTCTTCCATCAGCACGGAAGTATTGGAATTGATATAAATAATATTGAAAGAAGATTGAGCGATGGTCTATCTTACAAATGGTTAAAGTCAATGCCAATTTACGACTCTATCAGTTCTGTACCAACCATATTGGGTCTTCCATTGAATCTTAACGTCACTTCTGCATGGATCAGTACCCTGCAAGTCTCAAGTAGGTTTGAATTATTATAAAATTCAGCTATGCTAATACCAGAGTAACCTCATATTTTTGCATTTGCTACTCTCTGTGTGACAAGGCAAAAGCATGAGTATGTTGATCACATATACTGCGTTTGTACTCTGACTGAACAAAAAAATCATCGGATATTTATAGTTCTTCTTCGGCATATTATACCTTTTACTCTAACGAAACTATTTGTTGTTCTTCTGTGGCTCTGGTATTCTGATGAACATGGTGTCACTGTTATTACTGTGAATTAAAATAATTATGGTCGAGTTTTCGCATTAATCTTATTGCAGCCTCAGCTAGGGCCGTACGTGACTCAACAGTTCTTGAACCGAAGAGAGATCATTTTGTAAGCAGAGACCCATCAAATGATTGGTTTAGCAGCAGCAGCAGCAGCAGCGAATCCAACTCCCCTTCAAGGTCATCAGAAGAAATACCAAATAGTCAACGCTGGAGCAGTGAGTCAGAATCCATCTCAGCTGAAAACAGTGATTCGTGGAGCAGAAGTGAGTCCAGATCTCGTTCAACTGAACAACGTGACCCAATTACAGGAGTTCGTGCTGTCGGACAAATGATCAAAAAGTGAGTGAACCTTCACTATAGCTATAGCTCACAATATAAAGGAAAGTAAAATAAATCTATTACGAAATAAAATGTGTCTTCACAATGTAGTTTATTGCACGCACGATGGTGCAACGATCAACCAGTTATGTAATATTGTATATTTTGAGATTCCAAATCCATCGTTTAAATGCTCATTCAATACTATTTCAGTGATGCCATACACGTGCATGTACGCATGGGTGTAGATGCAATTGTTGTACAGACTGGTATTGGCATAGCGGTGAAGACACGAAACTCTTTCCCACTCATCGGAGAAGTCAACTGTGATGTCAGTCAACGCAAATACACTTTCGACATGAAACCTGTTGAACGAGTACACGAAAATGTACAACTAACGTATGTATATTAAGTTACTTCGTTATTGGGTAGTTTTGCAACAATGCTTCTTAGTTACAATGAACTAATGTGTATGATGAAGTAGACAACACGACTTTGGTAACATCAATAGTTAGTGTTTTAGATATAATGTGGTGTCTGTGTTCTCCCCTCAGATCTGACATATTCACGTTCATGAAACGCCCGAGTGAACTCTATGGACAATACAGTATCCTTACTCCACAGGTTCCAGCTGTCCTCAATGCCAGATCTCCCGTGGTGAGTAAACAAAGAATGGATATCAGTATCATTGAGTCCAACGTTCGCTATTCTTTAAAGTAATTCCATTTACCGGAACAATGATTAAACATAGCTCTTTCTTCTTTATTTGCGTGTCAGGTCCTGGATGAAGAGTGTTGCGATTGGCTCAAAAAATGGGACATTAAGGCTTGTTACAATAAGTTGGCTGCAAGCCGCTCTAGCAGATTAGAACCGGTGGAAGTGAGTAATTTAACTGTTTTGTGTACTTTTTGTACATCATATTATGAAATTACCCACTCTATACCCTTATTTTCATCCCATGAGAGTTATTCATAATACATTTATTCAACCTACAGGAGACAAAAATATGCATTCCTGCTTTGAAGAAAGTACTTGGTATTGAATATTGCTTACTAATCCATAACGCACAGAGACGTGGTACTGCCGCCGTTCCATTCTATCCGCTCCAAGGCTCTATGAAGTTCGCAACCTACTTAATTGCAGGTAATACACAAAATTGGTACGGTCGATTTTGTTTGTAGCACTCAGCCTTGTATGTGATGCGACGTGGTGCGGTTTTGTTAACCGAAACACACACACCCAAAAAACATTAATGACGCTTCCGTCACCATTTTGTTTTGTCTTTATTCAACTATATTTGTAGTGTGTAGCAAAATCCGCATCGATTCGAAACTTATGAACTATATTATGACCGAAAAGTCATGTCCAGTGTTGCGAGAAAGCGAATCCATACTTCCACATGTGGATCAGTTAGATCCAAGAAGACTTTACTGGAAATTATTATTCTAAATCCTGTGACTTAATTTTCATGTGTTATGTGTACCGAGAACACACACTATATTTAGCAATACAGAACAATAGAAAAAGATGTGTTGTGTTCAGTGGACAATACATTATAAACCCATACGCTCGGGTGTAAAAACCTTGTAAATTAATGGTTTCTCCTCATAAACGTTCGACAGCTCATCGAAACGCCGGGGATCGGGGAAACCAACAAATAATTTGCTAGAAATTAATCCCTCATTCTTTCACGGGTGCCAACTGGTGATGATATAACTTGAAACTCGTTTATTTCCCACTAGGTGAGAATAGTCCAGCGAGCATACAGCTAGCTGTCAGCAATATAAAACCCATTCCGATGACTCCAGAATCTCTAATTCGAGGCCAAATCCAATCTGAAATCAAACTCCAAGCAATCGACAGCCAAAGCGCACCCATTTCCGGTCTTGCTATCGATGTGATGTATGATGGGGCTGCCAGCGAGAGGAAGCTTGAGATTAAAGGCAAGATAATCAACAGAGGTGTGTATTGCCATCCTCCGAGAGAAATATGAATATCAAATACATATCAAACCATTCTATATATGTAAAGTCACAGCACCATAGTAGTTTATTGATTTGTATTTACTATTGTCAGACCCCAAGTCATTCTAGTCTCCTTTTTTTTGCAGAGGATCTTAGGATGCGTGTTTTGATTAAATCAGCGGATCCTTTATCATCCGGCGAATGGACCGTTGACCTTGGTGACCATGCAATCAACAACATCTGGGAGATTAAACGCGATCCTGCCCAGGCTATTGTCATGAAAACCACGTATGATACACTCCCAGAGATAATTTCGGTTACTATCGAAAGGTGGGTTACTTACTTCGCAGTAATTTGTTTCATACATTTCGCACTTCAGACAAACTATGATTTCTCAGTACGGTAAAAATACAAAAAACGACATTTTGTTATGATGTCCATCTTGTATATAGTGTTTGCAATAACAGAAGTTATTGTTTAAAGCAAGATGTGCTGATATTGACAAACATATATGGCTTGCTGTGAGCAATTACAGTTGTATTCAACAAAACACAATTAAACTTAACCGATAAACTAATATTGAGAGACTCTATGCACGCCACAAATATAGAGGTCGACAGATGGAGAAATATTCAAAAAATAAATAAATAGGTGACCCACGTGTTCAATTTTTTTTTGCTTGAATCACTCACTTCACTAAACAGTCTTGAAATAATTAATTTTCTTAGCTTTGCTGAAGTCAGAAATGCGGAGACTCATTGTTCTTTATATGCGAACTCTTCCACTAATAATGAGTATATTTTTGTGTTTTCTTATTAGACTATCCGGAATGGCTCTGACTTACCTTTACTACACTAATACCGTCGACGTCAAATACGTAGAAAACACACCCAGGACAATTGAATCGAGGGTCACCTTCAGAACACCATACATTGCTGATGTTGAGATTCGTTGTCCAGCATATTCAATTCGTAGAAGGGGTATTCCCATGAAAATACCTGTTCCGGTCCTCCCTGCTCCTGGTACCCCGGTAAAGACAGTAGTTGCAGATACAACTACATTTTTCCTGAAAGAGCTAGACATGCCATTGGGTAGGTCGTATAACATTTCCATGCATTTTTTTATGAAAATATACGTGGTTTAAGTGTGATTTTTATCCAATGTTAAATTGAAAAAAAATGTATAATATTTGTTTCCGTTGTAGCTACCTGCCAAGTCGTTGGAGATCATTACAGTACATACGACAACGTGACATACGATTACGCATTGCCTGGAGAATGCCACCATGTACTTACTATGGATGGAGCCAAAGAGACATTCATGGTCTTGATAAACCGTAAAAAGAACCAGCCCCAAAAGATAATCACTGCTTTCATTCAAAACAAGTAAGCCACTACGCATCGTCATCAATAACATTGCTCACACGAACACCTAAGGGTTCTGTGTTGTTTAACATCGGGTCTTATGCTTATCATAGGAGCGTACAGTGAAATTTATCAGCGGACAGCACATGTTTCGTGCAATCAATCACTAGTGATTTTAATTACCCAACATTTTTTTAGGAAAATTGAATTGATGCCTAATATGGCGGTGAAGGTACAGGACAAGGCGATCAAATTTGATAAAGCGAATATGTACACCATCCCCGACATCCTTGAAATCCAGAAGTATGCAGACAAAATGGTTTTGACAGCTAAAATCGGTCTCACGATTACTTACACAGGTAAGCTTTGTTGACCAGATATACAAGAAATGGAAATGATAAGCTCATTCGAGTTCTTTAAATATAAAGAGTATTGATATACAATGTTACACAGAAAAAAAAAACTTCAAATAAACAAGACGTTCATTTTTTACAGGTGAAACCGTGATGGCCACTGTGATGCCAACATACCACGGCAAGACAGTTGGTTTGTGTAGCAATGACGATGATGAACAGAGTGGCGAGTTTATGCTTCCAGACCACACGGTTGTCAACGATCCTAAACTATTTGCCCATGGATGGATTGTCAGAGGAGAGAAATGCACTGATGGTATTGTATTATTTTTGTTTTGATAGTTCATTCTTTTTACATTTATTGTAAGTTATATAGAACACACGAGATGATTTCCTATGACGAGATAACAGAATAACATACTCAGACAGTGTAAGCATTAATTGTGCACTATGGAACATGTTACTGTACACACGGACAATGCATTATGGAGGAGAACTCACCATTGCATATAATGGAAAATTAATTGTATGCAATTTTTTTGAAATATTTTCACATTATTAGGATTTGTATCTATAATGAAATCTTACTTTTCTTCCCATGTCATTGAGTTTGAGATATAAAGAAATACTCTTGCCATAGAAAACAGTGCACAAATTTCATTTTCCATGACATTTCGATCTCTTGTATCTTAAAAAAATGCTCTGAAACCCATTTTTTCCATTTGCGGTAACCTGGTGGCACGAATTCATAATGACTCAGAATGACATATAATCCTCAATTTGAATCAATTTGACCTAAAAGCTTAATACCAGCAACGTAACTGACTTTGTACATTAAACAATGTTACTAATTAGTGGACCAATATGATAACTGGTGATTCATTCGTTTATTGCAGCTTGCCAGCTGAGTTCACAGTACGCAATCCGCAACGAATATCTTGGCGGAGAAGAGAGAAAATGTTTCAGCACTGTCCCAGTTACTAAATGTCTACGTGGATGCGTCAGCGTCGAACAGGTTCCTGTAGACGTCGGATTCCACTGCATGCCAAAAGGTAAGAGTTTCTACTCCAATGATTCATTATACATTCGTGTGTTTTATCTGGGTGTCCCTTTTTTCTGACCCACTACGTGGTTGAAGTAGTTTAAAGGGCGGCAGTCTTCGCGCCGTGTTCTGTTCGATATGGGACTCATAGCGACGTATACAACGCGTGTAAAACACATTGTTTATTTACATGAAATTCGAACACGCGCTGCGCGACGACAACCGCCCTTTAACATCCAAATTTCGAGTGCTTATTGACTACAGTTTTATAATTTTGATATTCAGTGGGAAGTTACTAATTGTTATTAAATACCATTACTAATAAAAATATGTTTCATTGTCACACAGGTTTGACGTCAACTATTCACCTTGAGGAAGACATCAAATCCGACAGATTGGAAAGTATCAATCTATCTACAAAAACCATAGATACGGTGAAGTCAACACTAGTCGATGTTTCCTGTGACTGTGATCGCTGTATAAACCTGTCCCCATACTCACCATACTAGACACTGGAAATTGGAGAAACGCATTTACAAATTTACAAATCGGTTTTTGTCGTTTAAGCGCAAAATTTACACAGACTTTTTGGTGTTGGTTGAAAATATTCACGAATATCTGGTATTACAAAGCATGGTATACATTGGAGCCAGATAACTTTATAAAATGAACAGCTCAATAGAAAGTAGAACTTTTTGTTCTGTAGTTATTTGTCGTTTTCCTTGATAATTAAAAGTATATGGATAGCAACTGAAACGTATCAGGTGATTCATTCATGGTCGAAACGGGAACATTAAGTTGTCACGCCTCGTCGTGCACAGCGGAATACAGCACTCTGTTAGTTCACCCGATTTCCGGGAGAAACAAGCACATGTTTACTACCACTTAGTCGTTTAGTGTGGAATAACGGATGCACGGATCTATCCATATGTGCCTACATCGTCTGGATTTATTGTTCAAGAAGACGAACTTCAAAACTTCTAAATCGGTTTATTTTAAAAGGAAAAGCAACTTAAGAGAAGACATGTACGACTTGATAGTTTATACATTCGTAGAGAGAACGATACACACTGACACACAAATATTATAGTTGGTCAACGCACTCTTTAAAGGGCGGCTGTCGTTATACAAGATATGGGAATCATATAAACAAAGATGGCGACTTTGACTGTTGTGCAGAGTACAAACTGAGACGTTGCAAAGCTTTAATTGGGTATTTTTAGGTGACTGGAAGGTATCGAAGAAGTCAACGGCGTTAATTATTGCAAGTCGTGCCCTAATTCGGGCACTAGTATACGTCTATGTTCCCCTCGGGGTTGTGGGGTACCTGCGATCTCGTGAAATAGCAGGTATGATTGTTGGTACCCCACAACTCCTCGGTATACTAGTGCCCGAATTAGGCCATGCAATACTAGTATGTGTTTTGTAACACATTACACGTCCCTACTGTACCATTAATAGTAAACACACTCCACGTCTTCTTCTCGACTTCTGCTAGCGGTGTCCCGATTTCTTCACAAAACGATGTAAAGACGCTTCTAGAAAACCTGATTGCGTCCTTCGTCTTCGGTGCATCTTTATTTTCTACTAGTGTGTTAAGTTCTTCTTCTGAACTGAAGCTAAATCGTCCAGTTTTTTAAGGCGGACCATCGATATCAGCGACCGAACTAGCGGACGTCATATTGGAAATCACACGATCAGGTGACGAGTGACGTCATCCCTTGGCACTAGTTGATGCACTAGTCTCCCTAGGGAGCTAGTAATTTCGCTGGCGCTACTATTATATGGTAATTTAGCCGATAACACGTAATCCTGTTTTGACCAATTACTGTACAGTATTAACGAGTGATGTGTTATAAAACGTTCTATAACATAGCTTCGTCCCAGTATAATCAGAAACAGTGATCTTCCACATTATTACCTTGAGTGCAAAATAATAAGTTTGTGTAGCTCGCCACATTTCTGATTTCTATGTGAGAACCAATAAGCGACCAGTGCCCATATACACATGTGTTATTTTCGGGGCGGACCCCCCCCCCTTGTGCCGCCGCCACTGCATATTGCCCGACAATATCCATTATTTGTCGGATATCGCCCATGTGCATGACGTCAGCAGTCTTCCATTCTTTTCAAAATGTTTGTGGTACAACATGCTGATTACATGGTGAAGACGCTATGATTGACTTTGCATTTCATTGCCGTCACAAACGTCACTAACGGCAAGAATACAAATCACCGTCACTTAATTGGCGGGAATACAAATTCTCGTCGGTCGCTTCATTGGCGAGAAATCTACTTTTGCGCCATTTTATTAACAAGAATTAGCATGAAGGGCGACCCCAACAGCAATTTTCGTCGAAATGAGAAAATATGCCAGTTTTCGCTCACACATGTAACAACCAGTGGATGTACAACGTTCTTGTTAAGATTGTTGATGATACATTTTTTTTAATTTGCTTAATCGATCACAGATTTTTTCACTGGTGTGTTTTTAACTTTCAAGTAAACCATCTTAAAAATATGCTAATCCGCAGCTGAGCGCGGGTTTTGTCTCCCTCCATTCATGGCTCAGCCCTCTATAGAGGGACTAGGGTAATATGGTTTCCTGATCAGAAAACAAATATTACAATTCTGTTGGGTAAGGGTTATGTCAGCAGAATCCGAGTTGAAAGGTAAATAGGGTGAATCATTTCAGATAATTTAGAATTGTTCGCTAGAAATATCTTCGCATGCAGAACTGACTGAATCTTTCCGACAGTCTTTAAAAAAACAATGGGACATTAATAAACCCAAATGGCATAACCTATATGGACTTTTTTGGGGTCCAAATGCTTGCCCTCCATCTAACTCCTCCTGCCAGTACCTGCCTGCTAAATCTCATGTTGAAAAGTAGTTATCACCTCCCAATTTTGAATATGGGGCAGACATCTTCAATTTTTCCATTATTTGGTTGTTTGTATACAATACAGAACACTGACCCCATTTTCTCATATGTTTCTTGTAGATATTTGTATTTTTATAAGAATCTTATGAGATGGTAGATTTCTTATGAATTTCTTTTAAGAAATATAACCATGTAAGACACTGAGAAGAGTTGTTAGTTATGTTTCATATATATTTCTCACAGGAAATATCGGGAAACTAAAACTTATTATGAGTTGGCAAACTTCTTATAAGTTTTAAAACACGGTACGAAAGATTAAGTTTGTTCTTATAATAATCTTATGGTGAAAGTCATATTGAATGGTTTGCCTGTAGATTACTTATATTCATGACAAAAATGGGAACCAAGAATAAAAAAAAACTAATAATGAGGCATCGCTTATAGCACAATTAATTATAAGATGAAGCAACAATAATGTAATATCAATATTATGCAATATCAGCAAATCAGTGAAATATTCCCAATTATACAGCAAATAGAGGATGCCATATTTTGTTTTGATTTATTATTTAGATTATATTTGCACAATATTTCAATTCAGTATATGCATGTATGAAAACAATTACTCAAAAATTGTAAATTAACATACTATAATATTCTTACAACGAAAATTGGAAACTAAATCTTATAAAAATCGTATATGATCGCACGTACAGTTCTTTAAATTTGGATAGAAATGTCTTTGGGTAATATAGACCCATTGAATTTCTATCGCGGGTTCTGATATTGGTTTAATGTTTATACTTCATGTATTTGACTGTTTTTAGAACTGTGTGGTTTTATTGTATATTTTGTTGTTCAGAAAACCTACATAAAATATATGCTCACAACTTTTCGCAAAGGAAATTGTTCACACGCCCATGAAAATGGCGATTTTGAGACATTTTTCACTGGTTCCTATAGGAAAAGGAATCATCATATCCCCAAAAGAAGATGACAATTTGTTATTATGTATGAAATAATATATTACCGTGGAAATAGTTTCATGTTTTGTAATTGTATTGTTTTCTAAAAAAAAACATAACTCTTAAAATAACACGAAAGGTGGTGGCATTTGTTCAAATAAATAATTATGCAACACATTTGGAAAAACAAATTATAAACGTTGCACCCCTATATGGATATTTGTGAAAGACTATAGCACAGTTATTTAGTTATTTATATGTGTATATATCCCAACATGCACATAACATTAAATATAATTCAATGAATGTTTCCATGTTTATTGGTTTGTTTGAAACAATCATTTTCATAAAATAACAGTCAAATAAAGTTATAATACGATTGCACCAGATTGTGATCCACAAAATAACGATAGTACAATATGCAATATGCGATATCGCAATCATTTTACAAACTACTTAAAAATCTCGGTACTCTACGTAAGTGTCATTCTAAAGTGAGATAAATTGATTCAATGCAAATTAAAAAACTAACGAAGAAATCTTTTTAATTTGTTTGATTTCAAATGTTATTGTTCAACCTTGCTTATGAAAACATCTTCCATAAATATACATGCTAAATTATGGCTATAATTTGCAATTGTGTGTTTTCCAAAAAGTTAAATAAATATGTTAATGACAGGAAGCATTGGTCTTGCCAAATTAGAACTTTAAAATGTAAACAGATCTTTTCAGATTGTACACTTGGTATAAATTACAAAAAATGACCAAAGAGTCTCAAAAATCGTCATTTTTACTCAAGATTCAAATAATTTGTATTGACCCATGACATTTCCATAACATTGTGGCGTCTTCCACCAGCATGGCGTCCGAAGTTTTGGACCTCGGCCTCATATGTATTCTCATTAGAAAACCAGAGTTTAAATCCGAACTCGTCAAAAGCTGTTTTCATATATCTATAGACACCTAGAATTAAATCTTTTCTTTCTCGGGGTATGATATCAAGATGCACTCCAAAGTCCAACTGCTTCACATATTTCAGCACGCCGCTCATTATTAATTGATGAAATATCAAATGTTCATTGTTGTCTATATCAAACTTGAGGACATCGATTGGTTTCTGAAAAAATGGGTATCATTAATGTGCTGACATCGGGTTTCAACAAACTTCTCAATCAATAACACCACTAACATAAACATACCACCAGCATTAATAGGATTACCACCTTCATCACCACTGAAATGACATACTATAACATACCTTGCTATGGCCTAACATCTCCATAATTGTTTCTAGTGTTCTGCATTTCCAGTGTTCAGCGGTGACATTATCCTTATTAAAGACAACCTGGTCATCCACGTCTTCATACCAGAGTCCCAAACTATAAAACCAGATGCGGTCTGCATGTTTGTGATCTGGGAAGCCAATTCTGTGTAGAAATAGTGTCATGTATTTCAATATGTCACATGTGTATATCGGCAATTCGGTATTATAATTAACATAACTCCGTAATAAGTAATATAAATTACAGTAATCGGATTGCTCTATGCCAACGGTTGAACTTTTGACTTCACGACTGATAATTACCAAATATGTCACACCTCAATATCCTGGTGGTTTTACATAATATGTGTTATATATTCTGGTAGTTTATGATATCGGGTAAAATATGTGGTGTTACGAAGCCGCATGTACATGGGCGCCATTTCTTATTCTCCAAGCCTCAAATTTGGCAGGATATATGAGGTATTTATACTCTCAAAACAAATAAGTACTACTGTTCTCTGATATTGGAGGGTCACTCATTAGGAATTCTCTGTTCATTTAACTTAATTTAAGTTATTGAATTATTCAATTACATTCCGATGCACGTTTTGTAGGATGATCATATTAGAAAAGTGTTAGTCAACTAGTGATATTATTCAATATTAAAAATAAAGACAAAATTGGCAGGGCGATTGAGTGTCGCTTATCCAATATAAAGACGGTATTGTTCAACTAATATTATGTTACAACACATTGAATTCAATCAGGTCGTGGATAACATTGTTTATGATGACAATATTTTCAACATCTCAAATATTCAAATGTTTCTTCTTATATGACCCGACAGTGTTATTGGTGGCGGCCTCCTTTTTTAAATAGACTTATTCTAACTAATTCTCTAAATTTACAGTTGAGTTTAACTATATATAGAAGACAAAATCTGATTCGTCGAACAACCAAACTGCTCTCTGATTGGTCTAACTGTTTGGGCTGGGTAGTCAATCAGGCACAATTCTGTAGCTTCGCATTAACCCTTAATTTACAGGGCAACAAAGAGCCAAGGTAGGGCAACAAAGGGCCAAGGTAGGGCAACAAAGAGCCAAGGTGGGCAACAAAGTGTCAAGGTATGGCAACAAAGGGCCAAGGTAGGGCAACAAAGGGCCAAGGTAGGGCAACAAAGGATCAAGGTATGGCAACAAAGAGCCAAGGTATGGCAACAAAGAGCAAATGTAGGGCAACAAAGATCCAAGGTAGGGCACCAAAGGACCAAGGTAGGGCAACAAAGTGCCAAGGTAGGGCAACAAAGGGCCAATGTAGGGCAACAAAGGGCCAAGGTAGGGCAGCAAAGAGCCAAGGTAAGGCAACAAAGGACCAAGGTAGGGCAACAAAGAGCCAAGGTAGGGCAACAAAGGACCAAGGTAGGGCAACAAAGACCAAGGTATGGCAACAAAGGGCCAAGGTAGGGCAACAAAGAGCCAAGGTAGGGCAACAAAGGGCCAAGGTAGGGCAACAAAGTGCCAAGGTAGGGCAACAAAGAGCCAAGGTGGGCAACAAAGTGTCAAGGTATGGCAACAAAGGGCCAAGGTAGGGCAACAAAGGGCCAAGGTAGGGCAACAAAGAGCCAAGGTGGGCAACAAAGTGTCAAGGTATGGCAACAAAGGGCCAAGGTAGGGCAACAAAGGGCCAAGGTAGGGCAACAAAGAGCCAAGGTAGGGCAACAGAGAGCCAAGGTAGGGCAACAAAGTGTCAAGGTATGGCAACAAAGGGCCAAGGTAGGGCAACAAAGAGCCAAGGTAGGGCAACAAAGTGCCAAAGTATGGCAACAAAGGGCTAAGGTAGGGCAACAAAGGGCCAAGGTGGGCAACAAAGTGTCAAGGTATGGCAACAAAGGGCCAAGGTAGGGCAACAAAGGGCCAAGGTAGGGCAACAAAGAGCCAAGGTAGGGCAACAAAGAGCCAAGGTAGGGCAACAAAGAGCCAATGTAGGGCAACAAAGGGCCAAGGTAGGGCAACAAAGAGCCAGGGTGGGCAACAAAGTGTCAAGGTATGGCAACAAAGGGCCAAGGTAGGGCAACAAAGTGTCAAGGTATGGCAACAAAAGGCCAAGGTAGGGCAACAAAGGGCCAATGTAGGGCAACAAAGAGCCAAGGTAGGGCAACAAAGAGCCAAGGTAGGGCAACAAAGAGCCAATGTAGGGCAACAAAGGGCCAAGGTAGGGCAACAAAGAGCCAGGGTGGGCAACAAAGTGTCAAGGTATGGCAACAAAGGGCCAAGGTAGGGCAACAAAGTGTCAAGGTATGGCAACAAAGGGCCAAGGTAGGGCAACAAAGGGCCAATGTAGGGCAACAAAGAGCCAAGGTAGGGCACCAAAGGACCAAGGTAGGGCAACAAAGTGCCAAGGTATGGCAACAAAGGGCCAAGGTAGGGCAACAAAGGGCCAAGGTAGGGCACCAAAGGACCAAGGTATGGCAACAAAGGGCCAAGGTAGGGCAACAAAGAGCCAAGGTAGGGCACCAAAGGGCCAAGGTATGGCAACAAAGGGCCAAGGTAGGGCAACAAAGAGCCAAGGTAAGGCAACAAAAGACCAAGGTATGTCAACAAGGGGCCAAGGTAGGGCAACAAAGGGCCAAGGTAGGGCAACAAAGGACCAAGGTATGGCAACAAAGGGCCAAGGTAGGGCAACAAAGAGCCAAGGTAGGGCAACAAAGGGCCAAGGTATGGCAACAAAGGGCCAAGGTAGGGCAACAAAGAGCCAAGGTAAGGCAACAAAGGACCAAGGTAGGGCACCAAAAGACCAAGGTATGGCAACAAAGGGCCAAGGTATGGCAACAAAGGACCAAGGTATGGCAACAAGGGGCCAAGGTAGGGCAACAAAGGACCAAGGTATGGCAACAAAGGACCAAGGTATGGCAACAAGGGGCCAAGGTAGGGCAACAAAGAGCCAAGGTAGGGCAACAAAGAGCCAAGGTAGGGCAACAAAGAGCCAATGTAGGGCAACAAAGGGCCAAGGTAGGGCAACAAAGAGCCAGGGTGGGCAACAAAGTGTCAAGGTATGGCAACAAAGGGCCAAGGTAGGGCAACAAAGTGTCAAGGTATGGCAACAAAGGGCCAAGGTAGGGCAACAAAGGACCAATGTAGGGCAACAAAGAGCCAAGGTAGGGCACCAAAGGACCAAGGTAGGGCAACAAAGTGCCAAGGTATGGCAACAAAGGGCCAAGGTAGGGCAACAAAGGGCCAAGGTAGGGCACCAAAGGACCAAGGTAT